CACACACACACACACACACACACACATATAAACTGCTTTAAGAGCTACTTTAACCTGGTATTTCATTCTCCAGAGTACATAAAATTAGACTATCAGAGATTCAAGTTATTTGATTTTTGTTTGTTTGTTTTTGGTACTGACGATCAAACTGAAGACGCTGCTCTTGTGAGGCAGAGAGCAGCACCAATGAGCTAAATCCCCAGCCTAGTTTTGGTTTTTTGAGACAGGGTCTTACTGTAGTGCAGCTTGGCCTTGAACTTGTGGTAATCCTTCTGCCTCAGACTCCCAAGTACTAGGATTACAAATATTCTTTCTGTTTCAAGGTCTTTTTATGAACAGTTTTTTTCCATTCAAATACTCATTGAGTGTAACGTCTTGCTTTGGAATACATGTTAGGCATTAGGGATCCAACAACAAATGATCAAAATAGCTCTCATGGAACTTGTTTTTTTTTTTTTTTTTTTTTTTTAGACAGGGTCTCACTATATAATTGAGACTGACCTGGAACTCACTATGTAGCCCAGGCTGGTCTCGAACTCACAGCAATCCTCCTGCCTCAGCCTCCTGAGTGCTGGGATTATAGGCGTGTGCCACTACTCCTGAGTGGAACTTGTTTTCTTGATTCATTTCATAATTTAGTTCTATAAAGATTTTTTCCTTACAGAAAGGTGTGTATTCCTTTTTGTCACAGTAAAGTAAGGATATTTATAATTACTTTATGCCTGAACTTCCTGTTTGACTTTGATTTCTATGTTAGCGTAGGAGAAAAATCTCTTTCTTCTATTTAAAAAACCCATCCACCTAAGCTGGGGATTTAGCTTAGTGGCAGAGCACTTTAAGCATGTGAGAGTTTATGGGTTTAATTCCTGGCACTGTAAAGAAATGAAAGGACAAGGGAGCAGAGCCAGATGTGGAGGGCAGATGGTGTGCTCACACTCAGGAGCTGAGACTGGAGGGTTCGTCTGAAGTAGCCCGGGCCACATGGCAAACCCATCTGTAAGTGAATAAGAAAATAATAAATTCCTGGGTGTATTTGTTACTATATGCGAAGCCGGCACTCTGGATGTGATTTTTAAAACTCCTAAATTAGGACAAATAATATCCTTTTTGGCTTTATTTCCAATTGCTTACTTCCAAAATTGCTTACAGCAGTAATGTGTTATAGACATCAACTGGATTCCTAGGTGGCAAATCAGTTATGTCGCTTAGTATTTGTTGATCAGATATTTCCCCTGACATTTGTTAATGTGAATTATGTTTAGAATATCAAACTTAACAGCCTTTAAATTAATTAGCATTATTGGATATGTGGAATAGTTTTACTATTTAAGGTTACAGTACAAATTTTAATTATTACAGAATATATCACTGATGTCCATTTGAATGAACTGTCTACACCACAGATCCTTCCATCAAATGATGGTATTAATCCACGTTTATCAACAAGCCCTCCTAAATCAGGCAATTTGTGGCCAGGATTGGTACCCCCACACAAGAAAGGTAAAAAGTTTTCCTCAGATTCCTTTGCTTTGGTTCTTAATTTAGAATGCTGACTTTGCTATTTTACAATTTAAAATGTTAATTATGAAATATTAATTATCCTTTAAAAATGACAATTCTATACAACTATGATTTATATATATTTTATATATATGGCACTGATTTTAAAAATTTATTTAAACTTGGCTGGGATTTACCTCAGTGGTTCCACTGCCTGCCTTGCCAGCTCAAGGACCCGAGTTTGATCTCTGATACAAAAAAAAAATTTATTTAAATTCAGGTGTGGTGGCACACACTGTAGTCCCAACTCTTAGGAGACTAAGGCAGGAGGATTGCTGTGAATTCTAGGCCAGCCTCAGCTACATAGTGAGTTCAAGGCTAGCTTGAATTACTGGTGAGATCCTGTCTCCAAAAAGAGGGGAAAGAGATATTTGCAAATTACATAGCTGACAAAAAATTTATATCCAGAAATACCTAAAGGATTCTCAGTAATAGAGTCCTAAGCCAGGCATGATGGTGCAACCTGTAATTTCATTCTAGTACTCTGGGAGGCTGGGAGGACTACGAGTTCAAGCCCAGCCTGGGCAGTTTAGCAACTTAATGAGACCCTGTCTCAGAATAAAAAAAGGGCTGGAGATGTAGCTAAGTGCAAGGGACCTGGGTTCAATCCCCAGTACCACCAACTAAAGAAGGAAAAAAAATCCTTTGATCATGTAAAATAAAACCTTACTTGTATGCAAAACAAGCAAGTACTGTAAAAGTAGAAATACTGTGAAGTCATGATGGGGAGACAGAACTGTTTATCTCATCTTAATCTTTCCCTTCTCACATTCTAATTTCTTTGCCTCTTTTTGACCTGCAGAACATAAATGTCATAGTGATGAGTGTAGACTATTTTGCTTTTTTTTGTACCAGGAATCAAACTCAAACCTTGCAATGCCAGACAGGCTTGGTGCCACTTAGCTAAATCCCTGGCCCTTAGAATTTTTCATTTTCCCTTCTTGTTTTTTTTGGTACCAGGGATCAAACTTAGGCAGGCATAGTACTACTTATCTAAATCCCTGACCCCGTATGTATGTTTATAGTGACCAAGAATCATAAATGCATGTAAAAACAAAACCATCTTTGCTCTGTCTCACTGGTTTACCTTTTGTTTAATGCAGTGTTCTTTAAGGGTATTTTGAAAATTTACTCTACTGCATAATAATCTTTAACATTAAAGATGGTAGAGAAAAATGATAATGGAACTATTTTGTTCTTTTAAGAAATGTTCTACACTTGTTTTTCAATCTTAGCTCAGTCTGCATCTCCGAAGAGAAAGAAACAGCACAAGAAATACAGAAGTGTAATTTCAGACATCTTTGATGGGACAATCATTAGTTCAGTACAGTGTCTGACTTGTGATAGGGTGAGTATGAGGGAATCACAGTACATAACATTTCTGTCAAATACTCTTTTTTTAAGTCTGAAAAATAATATGAAAGATTTAATTTCTTATTACTACTGTTGGTCAAATGTACATTTCTTGTGTTTGAACTAATATAAATTGACTCTGGGAACAGAATTCACTTTTTTGTAAGTGTCAGCAGTGTTCTTTTTATTGTTTTTTTTTTGGTACTGGGGATTGAACTCAGACATTGTGCTTTTGAAGCAGACATTGGAACCACTGAACTAAATCCCTGGCCCCATAGCATTCTTTATAAAGGATGGATCTTAAACCCATCCTTGGACAGACAAATTATCAGGAAAGACTACTTACTGCTTTGTCTGTTTTGATTACAAGTAAACGTGAGAAGTTGCTCAGCAACAGGAATTAAGACACACACGTTCTCCCAAAGCTGATGAAGTATGCTGGGATATTAGCTATTCACAGGCTCAAGGCAGTAAACATATCTTTTACATTTGATTTTACTTATGGCTTATAAATATTTCCTGTGTTAAGATTAGGGCTCAAATAGTAAAAGTCAAATCATAGGCAAAAACAAGGAGATAAATTAGAGTAATAAATTTTTCAGTGACATTTCCAAAATCTGTCAAAATTTCTTAGATTTTCTTAAGGTTAATTTTTTTTTTTTTTTTTTTTTT